GAAATAACCTTTTAAACTTAAAATAGATATATAAAATATATTTAAATGAGAAATATTCATTGTAGTTGATATAAATGACACTCCTAATTTTACTCTAAGATGTTAGAAGCTTTGCAGGATTTGTATTAGGAAGTAAACATTTCCAGAAATAACTGATGTTTGCTTTTGTCAGAGAACATCAGCTCTGGTTAAAAGGTATTCGCTCTAAATTCACTTTTTTTTAACAGCGGCTGGAAATTTCTTAGATTTGAAGCAAACTCAATCATCCCTCCATCATAATGCAGAGATTGATGGAGAAATGACAGATTGTCTCACTGTTTGAAAACTGCGGCGCAGCTTGTGCTGCACCAAAGTACTGGTCCCCTCGCTGTTGCCAACCCAGCACAGCTGTTGGATCTGTATAAAGATGGCATTTTAATGGCTCTCCCTGTTCCACTGTCCATGTCCAGGTTACAGTATGCGAGCTCTGAACAGCATCTTACGTCAGGAAATCCTCCATAAACCCATAGAGACGCTGAAGCTGGCCATCCCCTCTGGGATCTACACACTGCAGAACAACCTGCTGTACGTTGCACTGTCCAACCTGGACGCTGCGACCTACCAGGTATAACCAACAGATAATGGGATGGATAAATGCATCTAGGGGTTTTATACTAACTTCATTCCTCTGTGTTTTTTTTTTAATTCAGGTGACGTATCAGCTGAAGATCTTGACCACAGCCCTATTCTCTGTGTCCATGCTGGGCCGCAGGCTGGGGGTCTACCAGTGGCTCTCCCTGCTGATCCTAATGGCTGGAGTGGCTCTCGTGCAGGTTGGGTATACTGTCCAGTTTTAGTTTGCTTAAATAAAGCCGAAAGATGTTGCTTCAGATTCAGCAATTTGCATCTTTATGACACTGACTTTTAAGCAAGGGAAAAAACTTATTTTGTTCTATATTTGCTAATTTTAGCGAGAGTGAAGCATTTACGGAAAAATGTCAGAGCTGGAAGTGTTACCGTAATACAACGTAACTTTTTGCAAGAAAGCTTTGTTGTAGCAATACTTCTTGGCAATACTGTGCAACATTTCTGGGTTGAATCCAAGAAAAACTTTCCAAGTAGGTGTTGCTGGAGGAAGCATCGTAAATTGTTTCTATTAAAAAGTTGTTGTGTTAAAGTTTAATCATCCAGTCTAATAAAAAAACAACCAGAATCAACCATTATAGATGCAAACCGTGGTGTTCAGCCAACAAATGCATTTCTCTTACAAAGTATTACACCATTAGAGGATAATAAAGTCTGAAGGTGGGAGATTTATTGCATAAAAACAGTGTAACAATAAACTAATAGTCATACAACACATGTTCCTTTATTTTTTTGAGAGCTGGATCTTTATTTTCCATATATTTTTTTTGGGCCCTCTCTCTAATATTTGAATAAACCTTTTGATTACATAGAAATAATAAAGATAATTGTCTACTAAACTTCTGCTTTTTAAGTAAAAAGTTAAAGACTTGAAGTTCAGAGGTTTTTATCAAGTAGAGTTTTGGTGGCTTTTAGGAAAACACACACGCAGAAGAAAAATGACAATGTATAAGTTTTTACTTTTATGAAGCCTATGATCTTATAAGATGAACATTGTAGCCTTTTAAAACAATTCAGAAAAGTGTTGAGAGGAATTAACCTTTTCCTGCTCAGCTTATTTTATGAAGATTCGAGGGCAGGAAAATGACTGATCATCATCACCTCAATTTGATTCCAAATTCAATGAAAAAGAAAAAGAAACGCAGTTGTTGTTTGGTTGTCATTTTTCATATTCATATTTATATCTAGGTCTAACCTCGGGCAAATAAGCAATACTTTGAGAGCCACTGCTCACCATCTCCCTGTTTTTTTCTGAGCGTGTGTCTCCTCCTTTTTCTGGCTTACGGCAGCATGTAGTGCGCAGGAAACAATTTTCTCACAGCTCAGCAAAACTGTGAAGATGCAGACGTATGAATTTCAGACCCCAGGTGTAAATCCAATTTACTGCGAATATAAAGAGTTGTTTTACATGTGCGATACAAACTGGGCTATTACTGAAAACCAGTTGGGTTTGGTGTCGTCAATCAACCTGAGTCAAAGGATAATCCCTCCTGCTTTTCTCTCCATTCATTCTAGAGGATTTAACACGTTTGTAGGGAATGTTTGTTCAGAAGCACAGCCACACCCCTGACTCACTTCAGAATACTGTAAAATAAAGTTGTCAGTTTTCATATTTCAAACTTTATATTCATCATGAATATATATATATATATATATATATATATATATATATATATATATATATATATATATATATATATATATAAAAGGCTAAAGTTAAACTGTTTTCTATCTGTGCTCACAGTGGCCCTCTGACTCCACGGCGGCCCCAGAGAAGGAGGCCCACTCTGCAGGCTCCCAGTTCGTCGGGGTCACAGCAGTTCTGGTGGCGTGCTGCTCTAGCGGCTTTGCAGGGGTCTACTTTGAGAAGATCCTGAAGGAGAGCAAACAGAGCGTGTGGGTCCGCAACATCCAGCTCGGTGAGTGAAGCTGTACGTTTGGCTGTAAAGGGAGAAATGAGCATGGATCATTACAGAGGCTTAGAAGTTAGAACAAAAACAGCTTTTTTTTCTCGCCTTCTATGAATTTCTGTGAAAACAGATGTTCCTGTTGGGTTTATTTTTACCTCGGGAACGTGTGAGGCATGCGCTCTGTCTCCTGTGACTCCTCCTCTGAGCTCAAAGCTTTTTCACCTGCATTAAACATTAAACAGCTGACTGTGTTTTTCTCCCTTCAGGCCATAAGGCCTCAACTACCTATATTTGTATCCTGTTAAATGTACTTTAATGCTCCCCAATTATCCTGTTTACCATTGACTTGTTAGCTTTAAGCAACCTTCAACCATAAAGGTCCAAGCTGGATGTCAAAAATCCTGTTGCGATTGCCAATTATTAACATGATCTCTTTTTCCTTTTAAACGCTAACTGAAGTTCACTTTTCTACACTAGCAGGGGACCTAGTTGTGTGATTAAGGAATTGAAATCATGACATTAAAACCTTGTTTTTTTTTTCAGTTCATCATTAAATGATATTAAGCTTTAGCCCAGAGTTTAAGTCTGTTTTTAACTTAACTTTTGTAAATATTGAAACAATAGTTTCATTTAAAAAAATGGAATGCTATGCATGAGCAAGTTGTTTCTAGTTAGCCAAGTCTTACTTGGACAGACTTTGAAGAGATCTATCCAATAAAATACCTTCTAAGTTTAGAAGCCTGATCCAGAAGTAGTTTCCTCAATTTGGGAAAATAATCAACCCAACACTAGGGGGCACTATAATGTGGAGGAGTTCATTTTTTTCATTTGAACTCAGAGCTTTAACATGACTGATTCCGCCTAACAAGATCTGTTTCTTTTAGCAAATATCTTAACTAAACGTGATACATGAAATATGCATTTCAGCTTCTATCTTAAACTCCACCTTTTTAGGACATTTTTAATAAAAACTAAAAGTTTGATCTATAATTTGAAGTAAACGACCACAGGAACATTTTGCACACATCCTCTGCACCGTTTGGGTCAATGCTAAGCGCTGGGCATAGTTAGCATGTCTGATGAAACCTTTGATTTTTCAGACATGAGAAAATCTAGGTTTGTTTAACTGTGAATATTTATAGTATTTATTTATTATTTAGGCTCAGAGCTGCAATTATAGTAATATTAGATTGTTGTGAATGATTGGAGACTCGTCATCTTCAAATTCTCTTTTTTTATCTATTAAATCGAAGGTTATAGAAAGATTGTAGTGCAGGTCAAACACAAGGGGGCGCCAGAGATGAGATGCTTATAACTTTTAACAGTTTTTGTTTTTAAACATGAGGAAATTTGAGATAAGGGGCAAGTTTATGAATTGCATTTAATTCATTGATAATGTGTCGTGTTCTTGTTTTAAACTCTCAGGGATGTTTGGCCTGGTGTTTGGTCTTTTCGGGATGCTAGCTTATGATGGAGAGAGGGTCAGGGAGTCGGGGATGTTTCAGGGATACAACACAGTCACCTGGACCGTCGTAGCCCTGCAGGTAACCCTTTATCTCTATCAACAGATGTGATGGGATATTTTCCCATAAACTTGTCTACCTTTTGAAAAAGAGTGTTGGCCCCTTCAGGTCGCGCCTCTGTCCATCTGCATCTGTGTGTTTGTTGTTTCTTCAGGCGCTGGGTGGTCTGGTCATAGCAGCTGTCATTAAATATGCAGACAACATCCTGAAAGGCTTTGCTACATCACTCTCCATCATCCTGTCCACTCTTATATCCTACTTCTTGCTGCAGGACTTTGACCCCTCAAGGTAAAAGAGATGGAGTTTTTATGTTT